TGTGAGAGAGAAACATTGATCAGCTGCCCCCTGCACGCCCCCTGCTGGGGACCAAGCCCACAAGTCAGGAATGTGCCCTGACCGGGAATCGAACCGGGGCCGCTCAGTGCATGGGCCGATGCTCAATCCACTGAGCCACACCGGCCGGGCTGGTTTAGTGTTGTCCACTGGTATTCATTCTTTCAAAAACTGTAATGCGTGTCTGTGTGTGGCAGCCACTGTGGGTCTAAGAAAAACACCACGGGACAGTTCTCCAAGAGGTCCAGACACACAGTGACAGTAACACATGGTCATTGTTACCGGCAAACGGCAGTGAGACTAATTCTTACATTTTCTTGGAAGTGTTAAAGACTTCAAAGAAGAATGATCTTGTCAGCTGAGGCTTAAAGAACAGAAGTGTTTTGGAGGCACAAAACAAAGTGTGACTAGCTCGGGAAGAGGGAACAGCCTGTGCAAAACACCAAAGGGAAGGACATAGTGATATGACGCTGAATGTACCGGTGCACAAATCCTGCTGAGTGGAGAGTGGATTGAAGGAAAAACGATTATACAAATGGGGTGGATAAACATCTGTGCAGTTATGTAAAGGATCTTAGGTGGTCTGATTCCCCTGTAGCAAAACAGAAAATAGAGAGGAAGAGGGACATGACTGGGCAGGGGTACTGGAATGGAGGTTATTGCAAGTAAGCTGGGGCCAATGAGGAGAAGAAAGAGAATAGAAAGAGGGGAAAAAAAGGAATGAATGGGGAGGTAAAATGGACAGATGCTGGCATTTGGTAGAATGTGGGGATAGAGTGAAGAGAAGACAAGGACCTTGTCTATCTTGTTCATAATGGTCTCTTCAGCACCTTGAAGAATGGCTCATCTGGGCTCCCAGCAGATATTTGTCAAATGAATAAAAGGGAGAGACGGATATGCAGGTGACTCCTGGGTTTCTGGCTGGAACAGAACGTTTATGCCAGCCCCCAAAGGAGAGACGATAACGTCGTCATCTGTGAACTGCTGAACATACAGGTGATTTCTGGAAGAATAAACCATAGGCAGGCATTTTTAAGGATGTGTGTGTGTGTGTGTGTGTGTGTGTGTGGGGTAGAAATGGAAGAAGAGATACTGAAGGAAATGCCAAATATGGTGGTAAAAGCATAGGAAGGGAATTAGTTTAGGTTAAAATCGCAAGTCAAGAGACAGATTTTCAAGCTGAAATGTTTGAAAGGATAATCTGTCCAGAGAGCTCAGTGAGAATAAACTGGAAAAACCAGTGACCAGGGAAGAGTATAATCAGTGCTGGGGAATGAAGGTTCTTTGCCTTTTCATGTGGTCATGTCAGAAATTAGAGGTTGGCTTACATTTCAAGTTATTATAGAAGCTCTGTGGTTTTGTGCATTTTTTAACCTAAGAAAGACAAAAGCAGCGTATGGGATGGTAATTTTAGTGCTAACACCCAGCATACAGGTCAGAGATCGATGCTACTGAAAAACAAGAATAACATCTTCATTTGGAGTTCCTATCGCCATGAAAAATAGCCTGACTGGGATCATAGTTTCGTATGTAGAATAGATCATTTCACATTTTGTGGTTAATATTCATCATTAAATATTTTAAAGAAATATGTCTTTCTTCAGTGAATAACTTTGTGATACACAAACTGATGAATCATCCCTACACATTACACTATGGGCAATGATTACATTTCTTAGTCCGTCCTCATATGTGGTCTAATTTAGCTGGTCCCTCAAGGTTTTGAGAGGTTGCTCTCAAGTATTAGTTACATAACAAGCACCTAAGGTACTTGGGAAAATTCTGTTATTTAATTCAAGAAGGCCTGGGAATTAGCGTTTTAACAAGCACCCTCCTGTGATTCTGATACAGGAGGGAAGAGGTCCTACTTGGAGAAGCATTGCTTTAAAAGCAGTTTAGTGCTACTTGCATTTTTTTGCTGGTGTTCTTGCTCCCTCTGGTGGTACACTGTGGAATTGCATGTTTCAGATTTCGTTTTCACAGAGAAACTGAAGCCTCCACAAATTACCTACCTGTTCATTTAGCCTTTATTTAACCACGCTGTCAACCTACAAATGCCAAGTTCAAAATTAGCATTCATATCCATACATACAAATAAAATTAGTGGAGAAAAATCACAAAATGTCACATGTAAAATTCCACGACTTAGAAAAGCTGTGGCCAAAACATTGCCCCCCCCCCCTTTTCTGAGAAGTTTGATGTTGTGTTTAGAATACGGAAAAGTTATATATGCATGTATGCATGACCAATGGACATGGACAACTAAGCCCGGGACAGGGTGGAGGGGGGGTGGGGTGGGGGGTGCCAATGGGGTAAAAAGGTAAAATATCTGTAACAAAAAAATAAATAAATAAACAGAAAAAAAAAAAAAAAAAAAAAAAGAATACGGAAAAGTTATTTGGTGGCAGTATTTTCATGAACCAAGTGTTAATGCCTTGTTTGAGTTCTCCTTCTGTGAATCGTTCAGGATTTAAAAGATAATGTTTTAAAATAAGAAGGACCCAGGGTGTGTAATGCTCATTTGAATTTTTCATTCGCTAGGTTTCTTTTTTGTTGTTGTTTGCTAATGAAAAGGATATAATTGATAAACATATGATGAAAGGTATGAGGATTAAAGAGTGAAGAGTGGGAATTCCTTTAGTCCTTCTTCCCTTCGTGATTTCTGCAGTCATTCAACAGAGTAGTTATTAAAACCACCTGAGAGAAGCTTTGTGCATGATACAGTGATAATGGGGATACCATTTCTATAAATGAGAGATATCTCGCCAACCAAAGCCTGGCAGAAAGAATCCAATCCTGAGCGGACAGGCTATCAACATGCAGGAGATGGGGGAGATTTACCAAAGGAGTAGGGGCAGGGTAGCCTCTGGGGACATTCTAATGGAGAGGATGGCATTTGACGGGGAACCCCAAATAGTGGCTACTTTTTAAGTCCCTTTGTGCAGCAACTATGTTGCTGATTTACATATCATGCCATGATCTGTTCTTTAAAAAATTTTTTTGGGGTACAATTATCTGTTCTTACTGTGGTTCTTCTCATTCATTCAGTACTGCTGTGTGCTCAGTGTAGGCACATAAAGTCAAAGGGGATGACTTGGGCTGTGTCCACACCGAGCTCCCCCTCTCTAGTGGAGACAGACAAGAAACAGCTACTTAAAAATAGATAAGGGCCCTGGCTGGTTTGGCTCAGCGGTTAGAGCGTCGGCCTGCAGTCCAGAGAGATCCAGGTTCGGTTCCCACTAAGGGCACGTACCTTGATTGCAATTTGTCCCCGGCCCTGGATGGGTCGTGCGGGTGGCAGCCACTCGATGTGTCCCTTTCACATCGATGTTTCTCTCTCTCCCTCCCACTCTATCTGAACAAAAAATGGAAAAGTATACTCGGGTGAGGATTAAAAAAAAAAAAAAAAGATAAAGGAATTATAAATTGAAGTAAGGGCATGGAGGAAATAAACAGGAAGCAGAGGTAGAGAATAACTTGGACCGGATGGGATAAGACCTACTTTTGTGAAGGGGACTGGGAAGGTCTCCTGGAGAAAATACAAGCAACAGTGTTCATTGAGGTCAAGGCTATTTTAAATGCTTTTCATGTACTAACTGTCAATCCTCGAAACTCTACTAGGGGGTGCACCATTATTTTACCCATGTGACAGGTGAGGAAACCGAGGCACAGAGACATTAAGTAACTAGCACGTAATTTGTAGGTGGGGAAACTGGGTACACAGCCAGGCCCAGAGCCTGCTCTCTGACCACTCAGATCGCCCTTCCCTGCCCCGGCGGAGGGAGGAGCCCAGCAAAGGCCCCGGGACAGAGAGGGCCAGCCGACCAGGGCTCCCGCATCTCCGGAGGACAGGGGACGGAGATGATGGGAGTGGCTGGTGGAGGTTAGAGACAGGGGGAGGCCCTTGGAGAACTCGGTCAGGAGGTTTGGATTTCATTCTGAGTACAGTGGAAAGTCAGGCAGGTGTCAAGCAAGGTTCAAATAGGGCGAGACGCCTTTTAAAAAGGTAACTCTTGCTGCACGTTGGAGAACGGATTGCAGGCAGGAAGGGCGGTGGGAAGAGCCGTCAGGAGGAGGCCACGAGGTTCCGGCAGCAGAGAGGGGCAGAGATCGGAACGGAATTTGGAAGGAAAATGAATAGCACTTACTCCCATGAGGAAGTGTCCCCAGCCTCGCAGAGGTGGTGGGGAGCTGGTACATTGTGCTTCACCGGGGGCTGGGCTCCTTGCAGACACGTGTTAATAGGAAACCAATGTGCTGTTAGGAGAGTCACTGAGGGAGCTGAAAAAACAGTGCGATTCCCCGAGCACAACTGCAGATGGTCGAGAGAAAGGTCTTTTTCCAGTAGAATATATTGATTTCACAGGTGAGGACACTGAGCTCAGAGAAGGTAGTGGTGAATTGCCTAACTAGTTAGTTGTTCACTTGGGAGTAACTGTATCCCACACGTGCATAACTGGTTTCTACTTAAAGGCAGAACCAATTTAACTGATACGGTGATTTCCCATCAATTCTAGGGCACTGGAATACTTTGGTACAGGCCGAATATTTTCTTCATTTCTTACGTCTTTAGTTTGAAATCCATTCCCACTAAACAACACAGGGTCAAATGCTGTCCCTATGGAGAATTTCTCTTCTCCCCGTCTACGTATATGAGACAAAAAGAAATAGAGGAAAAGACAAGTCCAGACGCTCACTTCTCATGTGACGGGGTCACCCTCTCTGCCTTGGTGTGGGCTTGCAGGAATTCTTGCCCTTGATCCTAACAGGTAGCCCTAATATGGACAAGGTTACAGAAAAGGTCAGGGACCTGCTGAACACTCAGGACCAAGTACAAGGGACATGCTTGAGACAGAAAACAGGAAGAGGCTGTATCTAAGCAAGTGTCTCCTGTATCCACGGCCAATTAGAGTGTCCATAAAGGATCTCCGAAGTGTTCTTATGGGACCTAAGCAAGTCCTAGAGGGTTCAATTAATCTTACCATGGCCCTTCTGTCCAGTGAAAAATATGACGTTATTTTGCAGTGCCGAGTGATTGTTTGCTAGCTGAAACTTCACGTGGAATTCATAATCGAAGGCGATGTCTGGGATCCGTGAATAAGCCAGGAATGAAGTGTATCCGAAGGCATCCAGGCCACTGAACCTGGGCTGAGTGATATTAACAGCTGTGGAAAAACCCAAACCCACATGTTAAAATAAACCTGCACATGTACTGTGGGAGGAGGGTTATGGTTTGCTGATGTCTCTGGCCAGAGAGCCTGTTTACTATCACACCAATTACACCTAAGTGCTCTCAGCATGGAGTCTCTCAGTGACTCAGTAGGGGATTTCAGAACCAGCAGAGGGCCCTGTGTTTTGAGATCCTGTGCCTGCATGTACCACTCGCATGCCCTTTCTGCGTAATGGAGAATTTACTTAGAAAGAAGAACCTTATATTTTGAGCATTAATTATAGAAATGGAAAAGATCACTGGCAGACAAAGTATGTACCCAGGTGCTTTGTAAACAAGCTCTGGCATCCGAACACTGGCTATGACTTAGAGAGGGATTCACAGCTCGGAACAAACTGGCTTTCTAGTCCTGCCCCTTCACAGTAGCTGAAGCCATAGGTCAGGGCTAGCAAAGCCAAGAAATGGGAAGGGACCGCAACCAGTTTCCATGACCGTATGGTGAATGAGCAGAACTTTCCTTGAAGTAAAAAAAAAAGTCATTGTCTAGAATAAAATGTTCATTCTTACTGTGTTGAGATGCTTGCTGGATTATGCAAACACTAGTTTCCATAGGTTTGAAACTGTAAGGAGACTTAATAGAAACAGAAAGTGGTAAACCACAGAAGTCAAGGGCCAAGTGTGGACAAGGTAGGATTGAATTGAGGGGTGCCATGAGCCAGCTGTGCCTCTATCTAGTTTTGCATACAAATGTCTCGTTCACTGCTGTTTCCTTCATAAATAGTCCCAGATGGCTTTCCCCCCACGTCAAGGGGACCACAGGAAACAGGAAGGGGGACTTTGAGCCCCCATCCCTGATTGTTAGGAACAGTATTCCCAGATGAAAGGATGTTCCTAGGATCTATTTTTATTGGTTCCAGACAGCTTGCTAGAGGAAAGAAGGGATTGTTTTGATTACCTTTTATTGCTTATCTCTTCTCAAGAGATGTTGGCTCTCTTGGGAAGTTGTAAAACTAGAATTTTTACAAGCCTTAAGAAATATCCTCATTCTGCTATCCAACACATAAAATAAAAGAGCTTGTTATGTCTGGTTATTATTGTTTATATAGCAAATAATTGTGCTATCCTGGGAAAAATGATTCTAGTTGTCAGAGGCTTTTATTTCTGCTTGTTTCACATAACTATTCAAGTAGGATAATTATGTGTAATAAGTCGAATACTTCATTTTAATATTTAATTAAAGTCTTATCATTTTCTTCTTTGGGATGTGTGGCCTAAGATTTTTTTTTCTTTCTTTCTCAGAACTCACCAAAATCTGATGTGGGATTTTCAAATCTATCACCTTTTATATTTATTTTAAAAAATCTATTGAAGGAATTTATAGTTCATGTTCCAGAGATAAGAAGACTTTCCATTGGGTATTCCACTTTTGGTAGTTCAGGGAAATGAAGTGTACTGCAATTGAAACAAGATAAAAATACAAACAGTGTTTTGCCATTGGCATTAAAACCAATGAAAATAGAATTCACAGTCCATCTAGGTTATGTGAGCAAACAGGTTCCCTGTATTTCACTGTCAGACTGTGCTACATGCTGGTGACTCCAAGATAACAAAGTACAAGCCCTGCCCTTGAGGAACAAGTGTATGGTCAGTACATTTATTCAGTAGAACTGGACTGAAAATTGAGGCTTGGCTGATGAACAGGGATTCACCTGACAGACGAAAGGAAAAATTATTTCAGGTAGAAAGAACAGCGTGTTCAAAGGTGGGAAGGCCAAGACAGCATGTCATCTGCCTAGGAGACTGGCGGAGTTTGCAACTTGTAGCGTGAAGTATGAAGAGTGCAGCTCGGAGGGTTTCAGGCTCGATCCCCCGTCGGGGGCGTGCAGGAGGCAGACGATCGATGTTCCTCTCTCACATCAATGTTTCTCTTTCTCTCTCCCTTCCTCTCTCTCTCTAAAAAAAAAAAAAGAAAATCAATAAAAGCATATTTTTAAAAAAAGGAAGAGTGCAAGCAAATGAAACGAGAGAGTCAGACAGGGGTCTGACCTTTGAGTAGTTGGGCAATGACCAAAGTTTCCTTTTAGAAATATCACTCTGAGGATGAAATGGGGAGCTCAGATCAGACAGAGAGAACTGGAGGACTAAACTTTGGTCAACATGAAAAGGAGGACTTTGCTGATCCCAAGAAACAGGACAATGAGTTAAGGTTATACCGAACTGTAAATGTAAGGAAATGTATGGGTAACTCGTTAAAAAGAGTAATGGTGTGATATTTATCTGAATAGTCAAACAGTGTTATCTATGCTAGCAACCCATCAGAATTAAGTTTATGACACACTTTTCTTTTTTCTTTTTCTTTTCCTTTATTGACTTTAGGGAGAATAAAGAAGAGGGAGAGAGAGATAGAAACATGGATGAGCGAGAACATTGATTAGCCACCTCCTGCATGCCCATCATTGGGGATCAGGCCCACACCTGGGCATGTGTCCTGACTGGGAATCGAACTGATGACCTCTTGGTGCATGGGTCGATGCTCAACCACTGAGCCACACTGGCCGGGCTATGGCACACTTTTTTACTCATAAAAAGAAGTGAGTGGCCCTGGCTAGTTTGGCTCAGCGGTTAGAGCTTCAGCCCGTGGACCAGAGTGTCCTGGGTTTGGTTCCCACGAAGGGCACATACCTCGGTTGCAGTTTGTCCCCAGGCCCAATTGGGGTCATGTGGGTGGCAACCAGTCGATGTGTCCCTCTCACATCAATGTTTCTCTCTCTCTTCCTCCCTCCTGCTCTATCTGAAGATAAATGCAAAAATGTCCTCGGGTGAGGATTAAAAAAAAAAAAAAAGAAGAAGTGAGTGTATTTTGAAAGTTGAGGACAACAAAGCCCACAGGAATGGATCTGTCACTCGCTCGGCATTTCTCAGTCTCAACTGCAGCTTCCACATGTGGCCGTGGGCACATGAACTGCCGCGAGGCCCGACTGAGGTAGATGTCGTACAGGGAGAAGGATGTGGAACTTCTTAATAATATTTCATATGCATTAAATATTGAAGGAAATGAAATCTATTATTAAAATAAACTTCACTTGTTTCTTTTTACCTTAAAAAATGTGGTTATTAGCAAATGAAATCATAGAGGCAGTTCACATTCTATTTCTACTGAATAGCACTGCGGAGAGAGCCACGTGTCACTGGGCAGGTGAGTTTTTCCCCTGAACACTTAGTTGTGACTCACTTTAGGGGGCTTAGTCTTTTGGCATCTTTGAACCTGTAAAATGAACATCCGGCCCATTGCTAAGAGACTCTGTGTCCCCATCGACACTATTGCCATCACGCTGCACCAGGGAGAACACGGAGGCACCCAGATCAGGAGAATGAGGACTTTCAACCATCCAAATGATTCTTTCCAGTTCCTTAGAGTAATCTCTTTATGATCTTTAACCAGGCAACGTTTTGTTGATCTGATTACTCTATTACACAGATTTCCAGATCGGACTTCTGGGAACATCTGTCGTCATCAAATCAGGAGACTGAATGGATATTACTGGGACTATTTTAGGGCTATTAAATGCATTGTTTTCCCTCTGCAATCTCGGGTTGTCTCATGATTCCGAAAGTGAATGTGTGCACTTTTTTTCTTACATTCTTTTAAAGTTGCAGCAATGGATTGGGCTCAGAAGGAAGGAAGGGGAAGGCTGGCATTTGAATTAAAGAGTAATTGTTTAATGTGTGGAGGAAGTGAGCAAAATCACTAGCAACAGTCTGGGAACAGTTTAGGCTGTCAGAAAGCCGTATGAAGCTTATTAAAAATTCTACAAACCTGCAACAAAGGAAGAGTGTCATAATCTTTTCTATAATATAGTGGCTATGTCGTAGGCTCGGTGTAGAATCTCTGCACAATGTGTTATATTATGCCAACAGAACACAGTTTAGCAAAAATTACCACAGAAAGGGTATAAACGTCGGTTTAGTCTCTTCATCTGTAAAACGAGGACGGTAGGAGCACCCAGCTCTTTGTGGGGAATGAGAAAAGGACGTGGCTGAAGGGAACACACCTGAGCTGTCCACAGATCGCGAGAGGGCCATCCTCCAGCACCTGCCCTGCAAGCCTACCTTTTCCCAGTGAAGTCACTTTCCAGTCTCAAGGACAACTGACTTGTACCCCTTCTCTTCTCCTGTAACATCTAGTACCCGCCTTACCTCTCCCAAATGATGAGCTTGCTTATGTCACTGAGAAAAACACCCAACTCTGAGAACAGAGAACTACTCCCTTCTTCCACCACCTCACCCACCCTCGGAATCTTTCGTTTTGATCCATATGTGCTGCCTTCCCTCTGGTTAGAGGGCTGACTGCCTGGGGGTTGGCTCCACCCCTCAGGTATTCAAGCTCATCACTCAGCCATTCTCTCCTTCTTCCCAGGAGTTACCAAATTCTTCTCTACTGAATCATGCCTTTTAATGTAAAAAATGTTAGATGATCTCCATTTGAAAAACAAACTAAAAAAAAAACAAACTGAACACCTGCTTTCCTCAACTCCACATGGCTCGCTAACTAGCTACTCCTTGTTTCTCTGTTCATCCTTAAGGAACCCTTCTAAAGAGCATCTGTTGTGACTCTTTCCATTTTTTTACCACCCTTTCACTCCTGATTTTATCTCTATCTTTCCTTTCAAACTTCTTATGTTAAGGTCACCCGTGACCACCATCTTTCCAAATTCAGGGTCAGTTCTCTGTCTTCTTCATCTTCACTGTCTCAGAAGCAGTGGACAGGGTCGCTTGTCTCTTGAAACTCTCTCTTTGCTTGGTTTCCGCAGATCTGCGCTCTTCCTACTGGAAACTGCTCCTTGGCATTCTCCTTTTCTTTCCGTCCTCCCCGCCTACCCTCTCTCTATTTCATTATGCGAACCATCTACCGGAGGAAGACCCTGGGTAGTAGTCTTTATCCTTGACTTTCCAGATTCATATACCCAGTGACCTACTAGACATTTGACATATGTT